GGCATCAATTTAGTATTAATTTGATACTTTTTCAAGAGAACTGTGCTAAATTTTTGTAAATTTTTGATAATTTCAAAAAATCTGATTAGCAAGTGTGGATTTATGGATATTGAGAAATAGTAAAAAAAACAATGTCAAAAATAGTAATAAATGTCAAAAAGTAGTAAAAAATAGTAAACAAAATGGTAAAAAATAGTAAATTACTTTAAAATTATAAGGTTAATTATTTATATTATTTTTTAATGTTTCATTCAGTAGCTTTAAACTAAAATAACTCGGAAAATAGAAAAGAAAAAATTACTAAGAATTATACTAGAAATTATTACAAATTTAAAGTAGTGTTCGACATGTCCCTAAATAAAATTTTTTTGAGAAAATTACATTAACATAACTTCTACTGTTTTTAACGAAAATATATAGTTTTAATCGTAGAAAACTGAGAATCAAATTTAGCTAAAAATTAGTAGAAATTATTATTAATTTATATTAATTGATAATTTTTTACTCATTTTACTAATTTTTACTAATTCACTCTGACTTTGACTTTCACCATGAAAATCAACATCAAAGTTAAAGTGTATGTCAGAGTGCAAATGAAAATGAAAATCAACGTCAAAGTCAAAATCGAATCGAAATTTAAAACCAAAGGTTAAAATGAAAGTCAGAGTGAAAATGAAAATGAAAATCAACGTCAAAATTATATAGTCAAAGTCAAAGAGAAAATGAAAATGAAAATCAATGCCAAAGTTAAAGTCAAAGTCAAAGGGAAATTTGAAATTAGCGAAATTTCTACGAATCTATGAGTATCAACTCGAATTTAGAAAGTCGGACTCGACTTTTAGAATCGAAGCGATAAAAAAACGATAATTCTTTACTTTCTTTCTATATTTAGTTTTTTATTAAGTTTCAATCACCGCGAGACGAATGAAAGCGAATTTTCCTTTAGTATATATAACGAAGTAAAAATTAGAATTTTAATTTTCAACGGAACTGAAAGTTTTATTTCTATGATGAATAGTTTCATTATATATAGAAACTGACAAGAAAATTTGCTAATTATATATTTTTCTGCATTTAAAATAAAGGATTATTTAAAAGGAAAGATTTTTTTTATTGCAATAAATCCTGTAGTTTTCTTCAACGTCGAAATGGAATTTTAATCAATCTGCAGTGCATTCCAGCTTCATCTTGATGGAATTCTGCAATAAATCCTTAATTTTCGCAATAAATCCTGTCTCTTAATTTCGAATTCCTTTATGGATGACTTCTTCTTTTTCTCCATCTCCTTCTTCGCATCTTCATCTTCTTGCAGTTCTTAATTCCTCTTCTGTTTTGTACAGCGAAGGATCTAATTCTGTTCAATTCTAGATTGAATTATATTTCCTTTTTTCAATAAACTCTGTCATCTACTTTCGAATTCTTTTAAAAAATGTTTTTTACGATTCTTTTTCTTCTTATATTGGAAAATTCTTTTTCTTATCTCGTATTAAAAAATCTAATTATAGTCAATTTTTCATAAGTATTATTCTGCTTGTTTTCTCTATAAATTCTATCACCAATACTTTTGATATTCTTTTGTATTTTCTCCGAGAAAAATTTCTTCTCTAATCCAATTGATTAATCAACTATACTCCAATAATTGATTTGGTTTCATTCATGATTTCTGTCGAATTCAATTTTTTCCATGGAATTATGAATGAAACCGAATTCGAATTCAATTGAGGAACATGAATGTGGAATTCGAATGGAATAAATTATGGAAAAAGGGAAATTTTAATCGAAATATTTACAAAATCTTTTAATTACTTCATTATGATAAAGTTAAATTAAAAAAATATAAAATCTTTATTTTGTATTACTTTAGACGCATAAAAACATTATCAATTTTTCGAAATAAAAAAAATATGTTTCCGAAAGTTACTTAAAGTTTCCTAAAGTTCGCTAAAGTTACTCAAAAAGTCCCCTGAAATTCCCTAACGTTCCTTAAAGTTTCCTCTGAAGTCTTCTAAAGTTTCCTAATATCCGCTAAAGTTTTAAAATATTCGCTAAAGTTTCATAAAGTTTCATAAAGTTTTCTAATGCTCAATGAAGTTGCCTAACGTTACCTAGGAAGTTCTTAAAAATTTCCTGAAGTTCCCTAAAGTTGCCTAAAGTTTCCTAAGGTTTCCTGAAGTTCACTAAAGTTACCTATAAAGTTTCCTGAAGTTCCTATAAAATCCCTTAAAGTTTCCTAAAGTCACTTAGAGTTTGCTGAAGTTCGATAAAGTTACTTATAAAGTCCCCTGAACTTCCCTAAAGTTCCTTAAAGTTTCCTTAAGTCTCCTAAAGTTTCCTAATATCCGCTAAAGTTTTTTAATATTCGCTAAAGTTTCCTAAAGTTTCATAAAATCTCCTAATGCTCAATGAAGTTGCCTAACGTTACCTACAAAGTTCTTTAAAGTTTCCTGAAGTTTCCTAAAGTTTCATAAAGTCTCTTAAGATTCCTTGAAGTTGCCTAAAGTTATACTTAAATTTACCTACAAAATTTCCTAAACTCCCCTAAAGTTTCTATAGTCTTCTAAAGTTTCCTAATCTTATCTAAAGTTTACTGAAGTATCCTAAAGTTTACTGAAGTATCCTAAAGTTACCTACAAAGTTTCCTAAAGTCCCTTAAAGTTTTATAAAATCCTCTAAAGTTTCCTAAAGTTTCTTAAAGTTTTATGAAATTCCCTAGAGTCTCCTAAAGTTCCCTAAGGTTTCTTGAAGTTACTTATCAAGTCCTCTGAAGTTCTATATTGTTCCTTAAAGATTCCTGAACTCTCCTAAAGTTTCATAATGTCCGCTAAAGTTTTCTAATATTCGCTAAAGTTTTCTAATATCCGCTAAAGTTTCCTGAAACTTCATAGAGTCTTATAATGTTCTTTTAAGTTGCCTAAAGTTACCTACAAAGTTCCCTAAGGTCCCTTAATGTTTTCCAAGATTATCCAAAGTTTCTTAAAGTTTTCTGAAGTTCCCTAAAGTCTCCAAAAGTTCCCTGAAGTTTCCTAAAGTTCCCTATAAAGTCCCTTAAAGTTTCCTACAGTTTGCTACAGTTCCTTAAAGTATCTTAACGTTCATGAATGTTTTATAAAGTTCCCTATTAAGTCCCTTAAAATTCCCTAAAGATTTCTAATGTTTGCTAAAGTTTCCTGAAGTTCCATAAGGTTTCTTAATATCCGCTCAAAGTTTCCCAATGTCCGCTAATGTTCCCTGATAATCGCTAAAGTTTCCTGAAGTTCCTTACAGTTTCCTATTAACCATTAAAAGTTTCTCGAACTTTTACAAAGTCTTCTAAAGTTCCCTAAAGTTTCCAAATATTCGCTAAAATATACCTGAAGTTTAATAAATTCATCTGACGTTCCCTAAAGTCTTCAAAAGTTCCCTAAGGTTTCCTAAAGTTACTTATTAAGTCCTCTGAAGTTCTCCATAGTTTCTTCAAAATTCCTCAAGTCTCCTAAAGTTTCTGAATGTCCGATAAACTTTTCTAATATTCGCTAAAGTTTTCTAATATCCGCTAAAGTTTCCTGAAGTTTCATAGAGTCTTCTAATGTTCTTTTAAGTTGACTAAAGTTACCTATAAAGTTCCTTAAGATCCCTTAAAGTTTCCTAAGATTATCCAAAGTTCCTTAAAGTTTCCTAAAGTTCACTTAAGTCTCCTAAAGTTCCCTGAAGTTTCATAAAGTACGCTATAAAGTCCCTTAAAGTTTCCTGAAGTTCTCTAAAATTTTTTAATGTCCGCTAAAGTTTTCTAATATTTGCTAAAATTTCCTAATATCCGCTAATGTTTCCTGAAGTTTCATAGAGTCTAATAATGTTCCTTGAAGTTGCCTAAAATTACTTACAAAGTTCCCTAAAGTCCCTTAAAGTTTCCTAAGGTTACCCAAAGTTTCTTAAAGTTTCCTGAAGCTCCCTAAAGTTTCCTGAAGTTCCTTAAAGTTTCCTATAAAGTCCCTTAAAAATTCCTAATGTCCGCTAAAGTTTCCTAAAGTTCTTTAATGTTTTATAAAGTTCCCTATAAAATCTCTTAAAGTTTCCTAAAGTTTCTTAATGTTTTTCTAATGTTTTCTGGAGTTCCTTAAAGTCTTCTAAAGTTCCCTAAAGTTTTCTAATGTCCGCTAAAGTTTCCTAAAGTTCTTTAATGTTTTATAAAGTTCTCTATAAAATCTCTTGAAGTTTCCTAAAGTTTCTTAATGTTTTTCTAATGTTTTCTGGAGTTCCTTAAAGTCTTCTAAAGTTCCCTAAAGTTTTCTAATGTCCGCTAAAGTTTCCTAAAGTTCTTTAATGTTTTATAAAGTTCCCTATAAAATCTCTTAAAGTTTCTTAATGTTTTTCTAATGTTTCCTGGAGTTCCTTAAAGTCTTCTAAAGTTCCCTATAGTTTCCTAATGTCCGCTAAAGTTCCCTATTATCCGTTATGACTATTATCCGTTATGAGTTTCCTTAAGCTCCCTAAAGTTTTTTTTTCCTCAGTGCAATAATCCGAATTCATCAAAATTAAGAGCAAAATAGTACAAAATCGAAAATGGCAGATTTGGTAAAGACCCAGTTTCGTTAATTGGAACTTAAGTGGCGAAAAAAAAGAAGATTGAGGATTCTGACTTATGTTAAGATTGAGGTGATTCCACTGGTGGCTGAGAGGGCCCTTTAGGACGAGTGCTACCTCCGCAGCCAAGTTTAACTCGTCGCGGGAGTAGTGGAGGCTACCGCCCCCGCAGGGGGTAGGAGTACCCTCTGATCATTGGGATCCCTCTTGATATTGGAGCCACACAATCATCTCTTCAGCGCAAAAGAAGAATAACAAGAAGAAGAAGAAGAGGAAGAAGAGGGATGCTCTTGTCTCACGGTTAGGAGGGCGGTCCTTAAACCACGCTCAAGTGGGGATAGGAGTGAATAGGGGGCGAAAGGAGGGGAGGGGACCCCGCTCCCATCCTCTCTGACTGGGCCCTAAGCGGGAGCTCAAGAAGCTGAGTCTCGAAGGATTTGTGAGTAACCGCGCTGCTATTCGGCGACCGGTGAGACAAGGACAGAGTTTTGGTCGGGATAAAAACCGCTACTACTTCTTCTTTTACTACCACTACTACGATCATCCAGCAGCTTTGGGATCGCGCTGCGCGGAAGGTTACAGGAGAACACCAGGCCCGAGTTCGGTAGGGAGGTCCCGGTCCTCCAACCAGAAGAAGCGGAGACCTTTAGCGTTACACTACGACCTACCGTCTTCGGTCTACTATTCGGGCTACCAAGTACCAACCAACCGGAGGTTTCAGTCGACGCCGCGCACCCAAACGGTCCAGACCTGTCAGCCTTTTCCTTACGCATACGCAAAAACCATATCCCCAAGTCCTTTTAATCGTGCTTCGATTTTAATATTCTGTCAAAGGATTATAACACGTTCTTTTGTTATCGAGAAATTTTTTGCGAAACTTCACATCGTGTTTGTTTGCCATTCATCACTAGTGCCTTTCACTTACCGCTTCTTCAGCATTCGAAAATTTTCGTAAGTTCTTTTATTATTAATATCTAAATCTAAAGTGTTCCTTCTCAATTTTCCCAATTTATCTCTATAGTCTGGTAAATTAATTTACAAACCGCGAAATTGACCGCTTGGTAATTAAAACCCGTGAATTATTAATACAATTTGGAAATTAATAATTAGATTCGTACATTAATCGTACAACTCGTAAATTAATCATACAATTTAGAAATTAATAATTAAATTCCCAAATTAATAATTCGTAAATTAATAATTGGTAAATTAATTATTTAATTTGCAAATTAATAATTGGTAAATTAATTATTTAATTCCTGAATTAATAATTCGTAAATTAATAATTGGTAAATTAATTATTTAATTCGCAAATTACTAATTAGTAAATTAATTATTTAATGCGTAAATTAATAATTGGTGAATTAATTATTTAATTCGTAAATTAATAATTCGTAAATTTATAATTGGTAAATTAATCATTTAATTCGTAAATTAATTATTAAATGCGAAATTGATAATTAAATTCATAAAGTAATAATTAACGGATTATAATTTTAAACAATTATAATTATTCCTAGTTAATTAGAAATTTAGAATACTTATTGACAGGAGGATAATTACTTCCCAGTGTAATTGAATTGTAAATAATTTCTCCGATAGGTAGTAATTATAATCGATGTAATTAATCACCTGGCAATTAATCAAGTTCCCATTGCGTAGAATTGGTTTAAAAAAATTTGCAATAATTATTCAGTGTTAATTACAAAGTGCGTTTATTAAAAACAGAACTTCATCTCCTCGATCTTTTTGAAATTGTCACCAAATTATCCAATCGAACAGATCATACTTTGATCAAATAGAAATTTTAAAACTTCCATCCTCTAAAAAATTCTACCATCTTCATTTTTCTTCACCGAGAAAAAAATTTTTTTTTAATTCAAAAATAAGTAGTCAATCAAAAAAATATTTTTTAAATTAAACACATTTTATGATATTTTAAATTGAACGTATTTTTTATTGAATCAAAGTTTTGTATTGAATCAAAGTTTTCTATTGAATCAACCTTTTGTATTGAATCAAACTTTAGTATTGAATCAAACTTTAGTATTGAATCAAACTTATTATTTATTGAATCAAACATACTATGTATTGAATCAAAAATAATTTTTAGTTTTAACTGTATAACAAGGACAATTAAATTTGATTTAAATATATAGTCTTCTCAGTGAAATATTTATTTATATGTGTAAATTATATTCCCACATTTTTTGCTTAAAATAATTGCAAACCTTTAGAAAATTAAAAAAATAAAAATTGAAAATTATGTCCATCAATTTGGAATTGATTACAAAAAATTCTAAACCCCCTTAAAATAATTGGGTTTAAAGAGTATAAAAGGAGGGTTTAAGGGGTATAAAGAAAGGGTTTAAGGGATTAAAAAAAATTGTAAACACTTTTAAATAAGTGGCATTTAAGGATTTTAGGGTTTACGAGGGGTACAAAAAAGTGTTTACTCCGTAAAATTCTAAAATTAAAAAAAAACTTTATTTATTTTGTCAAAGAGTAAATTTTATTTTTTATTTAAAATATGTTAGCATAAATTAAATTAAAATTCGTTAAGAAATTAAAAATATTAACTTAAAATCTAAAACAACAAGCATAAAAGTGATTAAAAGAAATGTTCCATTTTCTCAGCGCGATTGATATGGTCGGGGCTCCACCATTTTTCTTTTTGATATCAAAGAAAAGGGTCTCGGAACAGGGTGGAGGGGCCCTTTTGGGAATCAGAATCGAACGGAGTAAAAAAAAAGAGAGAAGAGGGGTGGGGGGAGATTGTGGTCCAGGCCCATTGGAAGTATAGTAGTCGGTAGCGAGTGGTCTAAAACCGGTAGCTGGGATTTTAGCACAGGGCGGTGCACAGTAGCCAGCTACTCACTTTTGGTTGGCTAACAGCGACCGCCAACAGGAAGTGCTCCCTTCTTATCCGTGAAGCGGTGCACGCACAGTAGCCGTTCTTTGGTTGGCTTGCTCCCTTCTTATCCGTCTTATTCAACATATATACACAATCCAAGGGACGAGTCACAATCTCTGTTCCTTCGACCGACACCGTCGGTTGGTTCCCTTCAATTCAATCGCGCGCACACGAAATAAAAATAACAAACGCCAGAAGTGAATTCAATTCGCCCTCCCACTTATATTGTTTTATACACTTGTCTCTTTTGATTTTTGACGATTGGCCCTTTCTTTTCTTCTTTCATTCTTTCTTCATTCTTTCACTCTTTTAATCCTTTATTCTGTCTCTATTGCTTACTTTCATTTTGTCTTTTTTTTACTTACATTCATTCTGTCCTTGTTTACTTTCATTCTGCCTTTTTTATTCACTTTCATTCTGTCTTTTTTACTTATCTTCATTTTGTTTTTTACTCATTTTCATTCTGTCTTTTATACTTCTTCATTCTCTTGTTTTTAATCATTTTCATTATGTCCTTTTTACTCACTTTCATTCTGTCTTTTTTACTTACTGTCATTCTGTCTTTCTTATTCACCTTCATCTCTCATTTTTAATTACTTTCATTGTGTCTTTTCTACTCACTTACAATCTGTCTTTTTACTCACATTCATTTTGTCTTTATGACTTTCTTTCATTCTGTCCTTTTTTCAATCTGTCCTTATTTCTCTCTCCTTTTTTTCTGCTATCACTTTTTGGATGAAAAAAACAATATTTGCCTTATTTATAATTATTTTTGACATATTTATAATTATTAATGTTTACAAACATTATTTGAATATATTCTGTAATTTTAGTTGCGCTATATAATTTCAGTTGCAATGAAATTTGTTGCGCAATAAATCTCGAGTTTAAAACGCAATGTCAAGAGCTTTGCTATGGAGAAAATATAATTTTACATTGGAAATCGCATAGGTCGAGTATTATATGCATGGCTCTACTGTTTGTTATAATAAAGCGTGATACAAGTTGGATTGTAATTAATAGATATAAAGAAGCTCTTGTAGTGAGCCTTCTTTATTTTTTTATTGTAATTTCTTTTGATTGATAGTCATCGGTTTGTGGTTGACCTTCCATTACATTTGTAATTATTCTTGAATTAAAGCGCGGCATTTATGGTACAATGTATTATTATAAAAAGTCTCCGAGATTCAAATGAATAAAAAAAAAGAAAGAAAGAAAAAAAATTGTCTTCACTTTGTAATTGTATTCAATAATAATAATTCTTTACTTTCTTTACTATTCACTAGTCACTTCTTCACTTCATTACTTTTTCACTTCTTTACTTGAAAAACACTAAATAATACTACTGTTTTTACAATTAATTATTAACTATTAAACTAATTATATTTTACTATTCTACCAAACTAATATTAGGAAGTTTAGCGGACATTAGGAAACTTTAGGGAACTTTAAGGAACTATTTAGACAACTTTAGAAAACTTTCTGAAACTTTAGGGAACTTTAAAGAACTTTAGGTAACTTTAGTGAACTTTACGGAACTTTAGGAGACTCTATGAAACATTAGATGAAACTTCAGGAAACTTTAGAAAATATTAGTAAACATAAGGGTACTTCAGGAAACTTTGGCAGACATTGGAAACTTTAATTAACTTTGGGAATAACTTTAGGGAACATTAGTGAATAATAGGCAACTTTAGGAGACTTTAGGATACATTAGGCAACTTAAGGAAACTTTAGCAAACATTAAGAAACTTTAGGAAACTTTAAGGGACTTTATAAGGAACTTTATAAAACATTAAAGAACTTTAGGAAACTTTAAGGGACTTTATAAGGAACTTTATAAAACATTAAAGAACTTTAGGAAACTTTAAGGGACTTCATAAGGAACTTTATAAAACATAAAAGAACTTTAGGAAACTTTAAGGGACTTTTAAGGAACTTTATAAAACATTAAGGAACTTTAAGACACTTTGGGAAATTTTAGCAAACATTAGGAAACTTAAAGGGACTTTATAGGGGAATTTAGGAAACTTTAGGGCACTTTATGAAGCTTTAGGGAATTTTAGGAAACTTAAAGGTACTTTAGAGAACTTTAGGGGAAATAAAAAAGCTTGGACGGACTGTATTGGTAACTTTAGGGAACTTTAGGAATTTTTAGCGACCATTAGCCAAACTTTAGGAAACTTTATGAAACTGCAGGGAGCTTTAGAAAACTTTTAGAAACTTTAGGAAACTTTAAAGGGCTTTATAAAACATTATTAAACTTTAGGGTACTTTAGGAAACTTCAGCGAACATTATGAACCTTTAAGGGACTTTATAGGGAACTTAGAAAACTTCAGAGTACTTAATGAAGCTATGGAAAACTTCAAGGTACTTTAGAGAACTTTAGGGGACTTTAAGGTGCTTTAGGAAACTTTAGCGAGTACATTAGACAACTTTAGAATACTTTATGAAACTTTAAGAAGCTTTAGGAAACTTTAACGAACTTTATAGAGAACTTTATGAGAACTATAGGAAACATAAGCTAGTGTTAAACAATTTTAGGATACTTCAGAAAACTTTAGGTAACTTTAGGAAACTGTAAGTAACTTTTTAGACTTTTAGGGAACTTTGTAGGTAACTTTATTGAACTTGAAGTAACTTCAGGGAGCTTTAGGAAACTTTATGAAACTTCAGGAACCTTTTTGTGGATATTAGAAAACTTTAGGGAACTTTAGAAGACTTTGTGAAACTTCAGTGAACTTTTAGCGAATATTAGGGAACTTTAGTGGACATTAGGAGACTTTAGGGGACTTGAGGGAACTTCAGTAATCATTAATGAACTTTAGGTAACTTAAGGAAATTTAAGGCAACTTCAAGAAAGTGTTGGGGACTTTAAAGGTAACTGTAGGTAGTTTCAGGGAACTTCAGAAGACTTTATGAAACTTCAGGAAACTTTAGCGGCTTTAAGGAATCTATAGCGAATATTTAGGGAACATTAGCGGATATTAGGAAACTTTAGTCAATTTCAGGAAATTTTAAGGAACTTTAGAAAACTTTGTATGTAACTTTAGACAACTTCAGGGAACTTTAGGAGACTTTATGAAACTTAAGGAAACTTTTAGGGGACATTAAGAAACTTTAGTTAATTTCAGGCAATTTTTGCGGACATTAGGAGATTTTAGGGGACTTTAGGGAGCTTCAGGAAACATTAAGGAACTTTAGGTAACTTAAGGGAATTTTAGGAGAATTTTGGAGACTTGAGGAAACATTAAGTAAGTTTAGGGAATTTTAAGGGAATATAAAAAATTTTAAGGGACTTTTGAGTACTTTGTAGGTATAACTTTGGCAACTTCAGGGGCCAAATTTTTATTAAGTTTTTATGAAACTTGTAAGGAATTTTTGGTAACTTTAGTGAACTTTTTAGGAAACCTCAAGGAACTTTAATGATATAAACGTGACTTTGTGGAATTTTATGAAACTTGTAGGGAACTTCAGGAAACTTTAATGAACTTTGGGTAACTTAGGGAACCTCAATGAACTTTAGCCGTATAAAAGTGAGTTTGTCGAATTTTATGAATCTCTAAGACTTTAGGGACGAAAGTGTGAAAAAAAAGAAAAAGGAAAGTATAAGTGAAACGAGAGAACTTTAGAAAAATGCAAATAATGGGGAAAAAAGGGTGATAGAAGTAGTGGGAGAGAGTAAGAAAAAGAGAATCGAGGTGAGAGAAAGGTTAAGTGTGAATTGAGGGGAAATGAAAGGCTGCAGGGTAGTGAGTAAGGAAAAGAGTGTGTGAGAGAGAGAGAAGGAGAGAAAGAGAGAGAAAACTGCAGAAGCGTGCGTAACACGGTTGCCCAATTAGACCCCACTGCACCGCCGTCAGGCTTACTAACCAACCGGGCTACGCCCCGGCACGCTTATTACTCATTCGGACACGCCACTTTATTCGAGTATGCGCTTACCCGACGGTAGCTCAAGTTTAGTTCCTGGCACAATGGTCGCGATCGACCCCAGGGGCCTTTTTATTACTGTATTCTCTCTCCAACACATCGGAACAACCCACATTTTTTTTTCTCCCAACGAAAACCGCATTCCAATTTTCAAACCTCTAATCGCTGAATTCTGATCAAAATAAAAACAATCTTGATTTATACACACAGAATTTTTCAAACCAAAATCCCAATTCTAAAACAAACAAAAAAAAAACCCAAAAGTAAAAGGGTGCATGTAAAAGAGAATAACTAGTCAGAGAAAATTAGGCGAGAAATTCTTCCAATCTTTTTTTTCCACAGTTCGAGAATGCAGTTATCAGAGATTCGGAATTTTTTTTTATTTTGGTAGAATTGGGATTTTTATGGTCCTCTGGATCCGATAAGTGTGTTAGATTTATGATGATAAAATTTTTCGGTAGGAAAGGTTTACAGTATATATATATATTTTTTTTTGGGAAAATAAAAAGGAAATTTTTTTCTTTTTGCCTTTCAGCTAATTTTTTGAATAATGTGTTAATTAGAGAATTTATTACTCTAGTATAAATGAATATATACAGTATATATAAACGAATACATTATACAATGATATGAATTATGATAATAATCTCTACTGTTTCATAAGCACTTGTGCGGTACACATGTTGACCTCACGTTTGTGATTTATGAACTGTAAAGGATATTACTTGCAAAAATATCGCTTTTAATTATATGTTGATCATAGATCATTTTCATTTTTAGATGTTTCTTTCTTTAAAATTATAGCTGCCAGTGAAAAATAATTTGGTTTCGGAATTAATATTTCCTTTCTCCAAAAATTTCGTAACAGAAAATTTAACTTAGTACAGAAGAAAATTGAACAATACAAGAAAAAAAATTTTTTTACAAAAAAATTCTTTTTTTGTATTGTTCAATTTTCTTCTGTATTTATTAGATCAACTTTTTTGATTCAAAATTATTTTTGGTAAAAAACTGACAAAAATTAAATTGACTAAATCACAACTGTATATAATTTATTACTATACAAATGAGAATTTACTAATTCATAAAAATGTGTCTGGTACGTCTTTAGTGTCAAATATATACTTGAGAGTAAATAAAGTAAAATCCTTTGGATAATAAATAAATTTTTACGGATTTGAAACCACACACTTAATAGTATAGAGATACTGTAACCGCAAACAATGTGAAAATGTTTTTTTTAGAAATCTTGATACACGTTATATTGTTATTTTTGTGATTTCCTTATTGCTTCAATTCTTGGGTAATTGACAGTGAAATAAAAAATTTTATTTGACTTCAATTTTTTTTTAATAAACTTTGGGAAATTTTAAGCAATATTTGTTTTGAGGTATATAGTTAGAAAAGTTCCAATTTTACTCACTTTGATGTGAAAGTGGGCAAAGTATTTACTTTTCGTCCTAGAAATTTGCTATTTCTGAAACTGGCTGGTTCATTAATTTTTTGACGTGGAAACTTTATGGAAACTCTATGAAACTTTAGGGTATACTTTAGGAAACTTTAGGGGACTTTATGAAACTTTAAGGGAATTTATAGGAAACTTTAGACAACTTCAGGGAACTTTAAGGAACTTTAGGGGACTCTAGGAAATCTTAGGGAGTATTAGACAACTTCAGACTTTAGGAAACATTAGGTAACTTCAAGAAACTTTAACGATCATTAAGAAAGTTTAGGAAACTTAAGAAAACTCAAGCAGACATTTGGAAACTTTATGAAACTTTAGGAGACTTTAGCGAACATTGGAAAGTTTTTGTAACTTTTTGAAACTTCAGAAAACTTTGAGCAGATATTAAGAAACTTTGGGAAACTTAGGGAAACTTTGGTGGATATTAGGAAACTTTAGAGGACATTAGGATATTTTAGGAAATTTCAAATTTTTTAAGGAACTTTAGGAAACTTAAAGGGACTTTATATGTAACTTTAGGTAACTTCAGGGAACTTTAGATGAATTTATTAAACTTCAGGAAACTTTTAGTGGATAATAGAAATCTTTAAGGAACTTCAGGAAAGTTTAGCGGACATTAGGAAACTTTTAGGAGACTTTAGGTAACTTCAGGGAACTTTAGATGAATTTATTAAACTTCAGGAAACTTTTAGCGGATATTAGGAAACTTTAGGGAACTTTAGATGACTTTGTGAAACTTCAGGAAACTTTTAGTGGATAATAGGAATTTTTAAGGAACTTCAGGAAACTTTAGCGGACATTAGGAAACTTTTAGGAGACTTTTTAAAACTTCAGGAAACTTTGAGCGGATATTAAGAAACTTTAGAGGACTTAAGAAAACTTCAACGGATATTAGAAAACTTTAGGGGACATTAGGAGATTTTAGGGAACATCAGAAATCTTCGAGGACCTTTAGGAAGCTTTAGGGTACTTTATATGTAACTTCAGGTAACTTTAGGGAACTTTAGATGACTTTATGGAACTTTAGGAAACATTAAGGAATTTTTAGGTAACTTTAAAGAGTTTTAGGGACTTTATGGATTTTTAGGGAACTTCAAGAAACTGTAGGGGACTTTAAAGGTCACTTTAGGTAAATTTAGGGAACTTTAGCAATTATTGGAAAACGTTAGCGGACATTAGGAAACTTTAGGAGACTTTATGAAATTTTAGGAAACTTTGAGCGGATATTAAGCAACTTTAGGGAACTTAGGGAAACTTTGGCGGATATTAGGAAACATTAAAGGACTTTATAGGGTACTTTAGGAAACTTCAGGGCACTTTATGAAGCTAAATGGGACTTCAGGAAATTTTATGGTATACTTTAAGGAACTTTAGGAAGATTTAAGGGATTGTTTTGGCAACTGTAGGCAATTTTAGGAAACTTTAAAGAACTTTAGTAGACTTTAGTGAGTATTAGACAACATTAGGAGACTTTATGAAACTTTAGTAAGTATTATACAACTTTAGGAGACTTTTTGAAACTTCAGGAAACTTTAGAGAACTTTAGAAGGACTTCAGAAAACTTCTGCGAGTGTTAAGCAACTTTAGAAGATTTCAGGAAGCCTTAGCGGACTTTAGGAAAGTTTATGGTGCCTTATAGGTTACTTTATGGAACTGCAGGAAACTTTATCGAACAGTAGGAAACTTTAAGGAAATTTAGAAAACATTAAGGAAGTTTATAGGGAAGTAAGCGAAACTTCGGTAGATTTTTTGGAACTTCAGGAAACTTTTAGTGGATAATAGGAATTTTTAAGGAACTTGAGGAAACTTTAGCGGACATTAGGAAACTTTAGGGGGTATTAGTAAGCTTTAAGGGACTTAATATTCGCTTAGGTAAGTTTGTTCCTTCTGAAACTGTGCAAAGTGGACGCTTTTCTCACTCTACGAGTACACCAATGCGAAAAACGACTATTTTCCGCACTTGTGTAATAAGAAGACATTTTACACCCTCTTCAGAGTGGGTAAAAGTCAACTTTGCGCACGGAGGTGCAAAAATTGCTAGTTTTTCAACAGTGTTAATACTTATTCTTACAGAATAGTAATAATTTTGCTTTGAGTATTGTACATAAGAAAAATTGGCAAGAAAAATTGTTAACTTTACAAGTAAAGTCTCTTATGGACTTTAGGTCCGTAAGGGACCTAACAGCAAAAGTTGTTAACTTTAAAGCTCGCTTTAAAGCAAGCTAAGTTAACTTTAAAGTTAACAACTTTTGTTGTAAAAGAAAGAGCGAAGGGACTCTTGGTAGGAAGTTAACTTCTGACCATTGGGGTATAGAGCAATAGATCCCCCTGATCGGTGGCACCATGTTCATATTAATCGATCCCACAAGCGTATACATAAACACCATAAAACATAGTCAATTCGATCTTGTCCACAGGTAGCTCGCCGTGCGATCAAAGTGCGATCCATCGTTGGCAATACCGAGTCAGTGTGATCTCACTCCCGGGAGCCAACAGCCAACCAGTCAGCGTGACAAGAAGCGAGGGAGGGGAGATAAAGAGAGAGGATTGCCGTGGGGCCAAGCAAGCGAGAGAAAAAGAGAGAGAGAGAGAGAAAGAGACTTTTGCCCAAAAGAGTGACTGCGAAGCCACTAAAAGAAGAGGAGAGGGAGAGACACAGTCTCGAGGCGATAGCAAAAGAGAGAGAGAGAGAGAGAGAGAGAGAGAGAAAGCAATATAGTCTCAAGCAAGCAGGGAGCGGTGGGAATTTATAAGGATGTTCGCGATAATGCCGATGGAGACAGAGGGGCAGGGCAGGGAGTTCGGCCGGCGGCAGAAGATGCGAGCCAAGTGCACCGTCGAGTTCGTTTGCAAGTACTGCCAGCGACGTTTCACAAAGCCCTACAACCTGATGATCCACGAACGCAGTCACAAGGACGACGTGACCTTCACCTGCGAGGTCTGCGGCAAATCCTTCAAGCGGCAGGACAATCTCAAACAACACAGGTACTGTCAACAAACTACAATCGAGATAGTTGGCTTCTGTGATATGAGCTTTTTTCACGCTTTTTTCGCTATTTTAATATTTTTCAGAAGCACTTTGCGACGGCGGCTGCGCAATATAAACTGGGTCAAAAACTACCCTCCCTCTTCTTTAATTTTCCATTTTTAACAAAAGAGTTTTTTTCTGAATTCCAAAATTATTAAGAAACACTCGCACGCCGTCGCAATGCTTCCTAATCTATTTGCTAATGATAATAACACTATAATAATACTGATAATAGAAAAAAAATAATAATAATACTGATAGTGATAATAATAATTATAATATAGTATTAATTGAAACTATCACTCGGCCAAATTTTAATAATAAAAATAATAGTGATATTTATTAAAAAATAGTGATTATAAGGGTGATCCGATTATAATGATAGTAACAGTAATAATAATAGTAATTATAATAAAAATAATAATGACAATGATAATGTTATTAATAATAATAAAAAATAGTAATGATAATAATAAATAATTTTTCTTTTTGTAAAGAGGGGCTATAAATTATAGATTTCTTTTTCTTTTTGTTTTGAGAAGAAATAATAATAATAGTAAATAATGGTGGCTTGCGAATGGGGAAAGTTGGGGATGTAGTGGACAAAGGACTCGGCAGTGAATAATTAAGTGATTAATAATTCAAGTCACTTGTTGCATCATCGAAAAATTAATCTACTTGCTCCAATATCTATAAATACTCAACTCTAATATTTTTGTAATTATTTTGTAAAATATTTTTTATTTACATTTATTTTTTATCCAACACAATTTTGTTAAAATCAAATTTTTTAAATTCAAATACACTCAAATTAAAATTAACCATAAGTATAATTCGATTAATTCTGCTAATTAGTTGACGTTAATTGATATTAATTACCAATACTAATTACCATTAATTGGTTAATAATAATGACATTCTAAATATTAACACGAATCAAATTACTAATTTACATTAAGTAATGATAATATATTTTTTTAATTATATAGCTATTAATTTATAAGTTTGAATTAATTTGCATATATATTAATTAGTCGCAAATTTATCTGAATTTCATAAATTCTAAATTTGAATGTAACATTTTCTTTGAGCAATTAAATAATTATTATAAATAAATTAATCAATTATTATAAATTAATTAATTAATTAATTACTATTATTCATTAGCTAGATAATTATTGTAAATTAGTTCATTATAATTAGTTAGTTAATTCTCAGTAAATAATTGTTATCATTAAATGATTGTTACTAATTAGTTAATTATTATAAATTAATTAATTATTTATTTATCATTTGATTCCTTTTTGGTTAATTAATAAATTAATTTGTCAATTATTATGAATTTATTAATTATTTATTAATTAGTTGATTCCTTTTTGGTTAGTTAATAAATTAAATTGTCAATTATTAGGTATGAATTAATTAATCATTTACTTATTAGATGATACCTTTTTGGTTAATTAATAAATTAATTAGTCAATTATTATGAATTAATTAATCATTTATTTATTATTTGATCCCTTTTTGAACAATAAATTAATTCAGATAATTTAATTAACCAATTGTTTTTAGTAACTTAATCAATTATTGTTAATTAATAAGTTAATTCAGATAAATTAATTAATAAATTGTTTTTAATTACTTAATCAATTATTGTTTACAAATTAGTAAATTAATGTTAATTAATTAATTGTTTTTCACAAATTAGTCAATTATGATTAATTAATTAATTATTTTTAACAAATTAGTCAATTATGATTAATTAATTAATTGTTGTTAACAAATTAGTCAATTATGATCAATTAATTAATTGTTGTTTTCAAATCAGTAAATTATGATTAATTAATTAATTGTTGTTAACGAATCAGTTAATTATAAATTAATCAATTATTATTAATTCCTTAATTAATTATTGGTAATAAATTGGGAAATTCTGACCATTTAATTAATCAATAGTTATTAATTACTTAATCAATTACTGGTAACAAATTGGTCAATTATGTTTAATTAATAAATTAATAAATTGTTGTTAATTTATTAACTATTTATTATTAACAAATTAATCAATTCTAAAAATTTAATTAGTCGATTTTTATTAATTACTAAATTAATTATTGTTAACTAATTAATCAATTGTTATTAATTTAGTACCAAATTAAATAATTCTGATAATTTAATTATTCAATTGTTATTAATTACTTAATCCATGATTGTTAACAAATTAGTCAATTATGTTAAAATAATTTATCAATTATGATTAATTAGTCAATCAATAAGTATTAATTTATTAACCAACTATTAGAAATTAATTAATTGGGTATAATTTATTAATTATAATAATTTATTTAAAATTAATTATTTACAATTAATTATTTACAATTAATTGTTAAAATTAAAATTATTAAAATTAATATTATTAAAACAAAAAGGTTGATTAAAATTGATTCACAGTAGTCGAGGAATTAAACCCACTTTTTGGTGTAAAAAAATTTTTTTTCTTGTAATTTGGTTTTGAATTGTCATTTGCGAATAGATTGCTGCATATTTTTCATCCAGGGAGAAGAAAAGTTTTTATTTGCTGTTCCGCTATCTAAGTCGAGAATTTTTTTTTCTTTATAAATATAAGATATATTTAATGATGTTCGTCATGAGTGATGAACACTTCCAATGATTCACTTTTCATTCATGATTAATTTCACCTCAGAACAAAGAGAGTTTTTTATACGCTGTAATTAAAATATCAATGCTTGATCCTTCATGTTGAGGAACGTTGAATAGTAATTTATCGTTCTCGTTTGTAATTTTTTTGCCTATTTTTTTTTTTTTTTGCTTCTTAATTTTTCAATTTTATTTTGTCTCAATTTTATTACTTTTTGGAAAATTTAGTAAAAAATAAATAAAAAATAAATTTTATTTCAGAAGAGTAGAATTTTATTTTTTTAAACATTTAATTCTGTTTTTTGATTTTAATTTTTAAATTTTTTAATTTTTAATTTAAAAAAATAGTAAAACTTAGGGGAAAGATTCTTTTTTTTCTCTCTGGATTGAAAAATGGTTAAAATTTTAAAATCAGAATTCACACGAAACTGAAGATACGAGAAACTTTTTTGATGAGAGAATGTGAAATGAGAAAGAATTGTGCGGTATATAGGTAAAAATTGAATTAAAAAATTTTAATTTCGACGCGCACACACATCAAACTCCCGTTTTGCAATGACAATTGATTAAAATGAAGAAAAAAAAAGAAGAAAAAAAAGAAAAGAAGGCGCAAGATCGATAGACCTTCCATATGTAAACCGGTTAAACAGCTTTATTCATTTTTTTCTTTCTTTTTTTTTAATTTTTTTTTTCAGTTTCTTTTTGTTTGTAAATTGAAATTAGCTCTTCTGCATTGTGAAGAATTATTTCCTGTCGACAAAAGCAACATAAAGGCTAGCCGCGGTCCCAAAAATTTAAATAGAGAGGAAAGCTGACACTGTCCAGTCTAAAACATCTTTTTTTTTTTCATTCGTGTAAACTTCGAAACTTCTCGCCATCATCCATCACTTTTTTTTTCATTCGATACCATCTTTTCACTAGTCTTTCTTATTCTTTTGAAATTTAGAACACGATTTTTTTGTTCTTTTCTTCGTTAATTCAATTCACCTAGTTTTTTTTTTTTTTGAAAAACTCTCCTTTTCTTTGTGTATTTTTCATTTATTCTAATTTTCTCCTTTGTAAATAAATAAATAAATAAATATTTATAAAATAATGGTCAAAATTCGAATTCGTCACTTAAAATTGATTCCATTGTTGTGAAATAATTTTTTTCTCTTTTAGAAAAATTCAATTCAATGTAATAGAAAAATTAAAAATTTAATTAGTTTTATTAATAATACTTATTAATGAAATTCACTAAACAAATTCGTTGATTCACTTTTATTGTTATTAATTTTGTTGTCATTAAATATTTAAATATTTTATTTTTATTATTAAATATTAAACACTTGATAGTAATTTATTTATTAATTTACATAATAATTTACTGAATATTCGAATTATCATTGTTAATTAATAATTAATAATTAATATTTAGTAATTAATAATTAATAATTAATAATTAATAATTAATAATTAATAATTAATAATTAATAATTAATAATTAATAATTACTTAATTAGATTTATTTATTATTAATTTATAATTGTAATTTGTCATCAACTAATTCTAATTGAATATACAATTTATTAACTCCGATCAATTATATAGTCAATTTACAAAAATTTATTAAAGAATTATTTACATTGAATGAAATTTTTATCGGAGGATTTATATTACATAATTAGAATAACGTGTTTAATTGAGAGAAGACAATGGAATATTAATTCGAATCTAGATAAAAATACGATAGATCGGATCATAAATTCCGGTTCAATTCGTGAGCACACAAAACCTGTCGGTTTAGATTGAAATAATTTATTGCAAAAAAAAAAGAGAGGCACTATTGCACATTGCCTACTGTGCGCGATCGAAAAAATTTGTTATTTTCAAGGTGAACTGGTAAAAATATAATTTTATCAATTTATTTCAATAATTAACAATCAAACAATTATTTAACATGTAAAAAATTCTACAAAATTTTTGAATTATGATTTTATTATTATTATTATTATTATTATTATTATTAAATTATAAAATAAGGCAAATAAAATTAAAATAATAATTAAATTATTAGTAGTATTATTAAATTATTATTGTTATTAAATATTTACTTGTATTTTATTATTTAGAATATAAAAAAATAAAAAATGAAGAATAAAGAATGTAAATACGAATAATCTTCTCATTTTTCGAGTGAATTCTGTGACTTGATCTACGCTTTGCTTTAAAATATTAATATTTAGTTTATAGGTTTGTGATTCCATATTTTCTTCACTTTTAAGTTTTTTTCAAAAAAAATTTTTTATTTTCTAAAAATTATTTCTTAATAATTCTTTCGGACTTTTTTATGTCCGTTCGATGACATTAAAAGTGGAGAAGGAGAGAATTTCTTTTTTTTAAATAAATTTTTTAAAAAATAAAGAAGAGTATATGGATTCGCACGCCTACCAATCGAAAGAGTACATTGAGAATGAATTGCACATGCACGAACATTGCACAATTAATTACTTCTTAATGGAAAATAACGGTCTCTTCTGGAATGATCAGCATGGGAACTTCATAACATGACTACATTTAATACTTTGTGAGAATCCTTTCCTTTGAGTCGCGCGAACCTTCACGAACCAATGTTCATTTCACTTTCAAGCACACTGTCTCGAATTTCATCTCATATGCATATTTTTTATGTACATAATAATATTCCAAAAATAAAAAAAGAGAAAGAAAAGAAAAGAAAATTTGTCACATTCCTCTAAAAGACTTAAAAACAAATTTTCTAATCTTTATAAACAAAAACTGTTTTCTTTCCCTTTAAAAAATATTTGCCAAATGAAAATGATTTTCTTCCCATTTAAAAAATATTTGCCAAATGAAAATTGTTTTTTTTTTCATTTAAAAAATATTTGTTTTTAAAAAAAAATTGTTTTCTTTCCCTTTAAAAACTATTTGCCAAATGAAAACCGTTTTCTTTCCATTTACAGAACATTTGCTATAAATAAAAAAATTTTTTTTTTACATTTAATGAACATTTGCTATAAATTAAAAAAATTGTTTTCTTTCCGCTTAAAAAATAATTGCTAAATAAAAAAAAAGACTTTTTTTGCGGGAAATGGGCAGTAATAGTAGAAATTAAGGGAGAGAGAGAGAAAGTAAAAAAAAAATAAATTTCTGATGGTGGTTACTAATAGATACCTTGTATATGTAATGGCGGCGGTCTTGTTTTCTGTTCTGTTGTAGATGTGGGTGGCGGTGAGCGGGAGCTCTGAAACCTCCTGTCTTCACACACAAAAAAATGCACTCTTCTCTGATCTCCCTAATTTTCCCGCAAAGCAAACAAAAAAAAAAGAAAAAAAGCAAAGAAAACAAAAATTTTGAAAAAGAATCGAAAAAGAAACCGCCACCTCGATTCCTCCCCCAGCATCCCTCCCAGCATGCCCTTTTTGCACTGTTTTACTAACACGCACTATTATGATTATAAAAAAAAAAAAAAAAAAATTTTGAAAAAAATTGAACACACATCCTCACCTTCCGTTTTCGTCAATCTTTGTTCCAGAAGTATACACTCCGTTCCCTACAAGGGCTCCAACGGCTACTCCAATGGCTATTCGAATGGCTACTCTAGGTACTAGAAGCCATCCAGCCATTCCAACAAACTCCGTAGATTTTTTTTTTTTTTTTGAAAATGTAGATTTTTAATATTCCTTTCCCTATTCTTCCTTCTGTCCTCGATGTTTCCTTCTTTCTTCGAGGTCCTCCTGAGCTTTCTCACTAGTCCATCAATGTTTCCAATTTTCCTTTTTTCTTTTTGTCATCCTCCATATGAATCATTGATTCGACTCATTTTCGAGTCGTGAAATTCGAATCATTCGAACGAATCATCCGAAAGAAAGAATCCTTGCAAAGAATCTTTTTGCTATGTGGATTCCTATTTGACTCAATATTTTTGAGTCAATATCTTTGACTCAATATTTTGACTCAATATCTTTGACTCAATATTTTTGAATCAATATCTTTGAATCAATATTTTCCATCAGTATGTTTCAATCAATATTTTTGAATCAATCCTTTCTGAATCAATACTGTTTAAATCAATCCTTTCTGAATCAATACTTTCAGAATCAATCCTGTTTGAATCAATCTTATTTGAATCAATCCTTTTTGAATCTATCTTGTTTGAATCAATCGTTTTCGAATCAATTCTGTAAGATTCAATCGTTTTCGAATCAATTCTGTAAGAATCAATCGTTTTTGAATCAATCCTGTTTGAATCAATCGTTTTTGACTAAATCCTGTTTGACTCAATCATTTTCGATTCAATTCTGCCTGAATCAATCATTTTTTAACTCAATCCTGTTTGAAACAAAATTTTTGAATCCTCTGCTTTGGATTCGGCTCTCTTGATTCTCAGATTGTACCTCGAATTGATTCACTTTTTGAGATAATTATCCTAAAATAATTGTCATCCTTAAATAATATCCTCATCCTTATTCAAATAATTTTTGATTCCTAATTCAATTTCCGTTAGTAATTTCCTTGAAAAGAAAAAACCAATTCACTCCGCTTCGTACCAGTTTATATAAATCTAAAGCCAAGATCCTTCTTCAACGAGTCCCGGGGAATCAACATATGCAGTGAGGTTCGACGTCCAAAGGATTAATGCAGACATCACAACCATTTTGGAAATGCGTTACGAGCAATTATAATATTCATTTTGGATGGAGGAAGATTTTTTGCGAACGCTTGGATTTGTATCTATGTTTTGTACTATATTTATACATATATATATATATATATATATTTTATCCCAATGTGCAATTTTCTATTCATCAAAAATTATTCGCCCAAAAAAAAATTATTCTTTTTTAAATTTTATTTTCTTTTTTCTATTTGATTTCGAAAAATATTGAACGAAAGTTTACAACGTGAAACCTGACGATTTTCAATATTGTTACATATGGTAAATCGTCAGATTTGACGTTTGTAAACTTGAGTTCAATAAAAAAATTGGAATTTCCGAGAAAAAATGAAGTGTAATTTTAATAAGGAAAGCATAACTTATTAATTGTAATTTATTTTTTTCGAAAATTAATTATTTAAAATCGACTATATTTATAATATTATCGAAATTGAAGGAAAAATTGAGAGAACCGGTTGTGAAATATTTTTAGCTTTATGGAAATTTAATTATTAAAATTCGAGTGACATGGTGAATTAAAAATTAGTTTTTAAATCTGTTTTTGTTGATTTATTTTTTTTTGTTATTTAGTTTTTGTTTAATTAATTTTGGGACCTATTATCGCAAAGTGGACTTTGAGTTTTTTTTCAAACCCTTTCTGAATATTTTCTACGAGGAAAAAATTGACTCGTTGAAGAGCCGAAGAAATAAGTGGATGCAGCAAAAATATTATGAAAAGAAAGAAAAATTAATGGATGCACTTAAAAATTTTGAAGTTGAAGAGTTGAAGAAATAAGTAGATGCAGTAAAAATATTACAAAAAGAAAGAAAAATTAATGGATGCACCTTAAAATTTGGTTCCAGATCATCAAAAATAATGGATGCACCTATGTACTATTCGTTCCAATCTGTAAAAATTTTCGAATGATGAAGAATTACTTTTTTAAGAAGGTGAAGAGAAAAACAAAAAGGTGAAAAATAAAAAGAAACAAAAAAAAAAATTACGAACGAAAATCATTCGAAATAGAGGTGCACCTAAAATTTTGGTTTCAGTTTGTATGCAAAAAATTATCAAAATCATTTAGAAATTTTTAAATCTTTGATCATGAAATGTTTTTTCTTTAAAAAGACGAAAAAAAAACAAATATAAGAAAAATAAGAAGAAGCATTTAGAAATTTTTGAAAGGATATCAATAAAAATAATAGATGCACCTAAAATTTTGGTTCCATTTTCTTTTCTATAATCATTATTTCGAAATTTTTAAAAATCTTTGATGAAGAAATGTTTTTTTTAAGAAGACGAGAAAAAAACAAAAAGGATAAAAAGAAGCATTTAGAAATTTTTGAAAGGATATTAATAAAAATAGTAGATGCACCTAAAATTTTGGTTCCAGTTTCATTTTTAAAATCATTATTTAGAAATTTTTAAAAATCTTTGATAAAGAAATTTGAGAAGATGAAAAAACACAAGAAGGAGAAAAATAAAGAGAAGCACTCAGAAATTTTTAAAAAGATATCATTAAAAATAGTAGATGCACCTAAAATTTTGGTTTCAGTTTCTTTTCTAAAATCATCATTTACAAATATTTTGAGACAATTATTGAAGAGGAGAAAAATAAAGAAGAGGAACATGATAAAATGTTGTTGAAGAGAGGAAACATGAAGAAGAGGAGAAAACTGGAGAAGAGGAGTAAAAAATAAAGAAAAGGAGAAAAATAAAGAAGAGAAAAATAAGGAAGAGGAGAAAAATAAGGAAGAAGAGAAAAATGAGGAAGAAGAGAAAAATAAAGAAGAGGAGAAAAATAAGGAAGAAGAGAAAAATAAGGAAGAGGAGAAAACTAAAGGAGAGGTGAAAGATAAAAAAGAGATAAAAGATGAACAAGAGAAGAAAGGTAAACAAGAGAAAAAAAGGAAACACCAAGAACATTGCGAAAGGAAAACGAGATGAAACCAAATAATGGATGCACCTAAAATTTATGATTCTAACCATTCGCTACAATCATCATCAGCCATCCAAAAATTTTCAGAAAACTCTTCTTTTCTTTAAAAAAAAAAGAGAAAAAGGACCAAAAGGAGAAAAAGAGTTTAAAAAATCACTAAAAATTTGAAATTAGTTGCAAAAAAAGAAGAACAAGAGATGCACCTATTGCTAAATTTCTTCATCCCTCATACCAACTAAATTCAAACACTAAAAACAATTTTCAATTGTTGAATTCAATTGAAATTGACACAAAAATCATTACTAAGAACACGAAGAGCTTTCGAACCAAAAAAAAAAAAAAAAAAAAACTTAAAAACAATCAACAGGAACTAAAAAATAAAAAAAATTTCCAAAACAAAAAACCACAATACACAAATATATATTTAAAGGAACAAAGTCTCAAAGACTATCTTTTTAAAGTCCCCCGAAGAAACAAGAAGATTAAGGACGTTCTCCTCGAGGCTCATGTCCAAAATTGGACTACATAATAATGGTCAGTTGAGATGGTGAAGATGCTACCAAAGTTTAGTGATGTTAAGCTACTGGTGAACCACGCCCAATCCCCAGGCGACGTGCTCTCTTCAACCGGATACCCATAACCCATCTATCGGAAGCTGTGAGATCAAGTCTAAAAGCAAAAAAATTTAAAATAGAAGGAGGAAATTAATACCTCATTAAAAGTACTAAATAAATTTTCCCTTTTGTTATTATTCTCTCCCCACCTTTTTCAGGGGGCTTAATTTTTCTTCTCCCATTTTTAAGGGGGAGATTAATTTCTTTCTCCCCTTTTTTAGGAGGATTAATTTTCATTTTTCCATTTTTAAGGGGAGATTAATTTTCTTCACCCCCTTTTTTAGGGGGATTAATTTTCTTTCCCCCCTTTTTCAGGGCGATTAATTTTCTTTCTCCCATTTTTAAGGAGGAGATAATTTTCTTTCCCCCTATTTTTCGGGGGGATTAATTTTCTTTCTCCTATTTTTAAGGGGGAGATTAATTTTCTTTTCCCCATTTTTAAGAGGGAGATTAATTTCCTTTCTCCCATTTTTAAGGGGGAGATTAATTTTCTTTCTCCCCTTTTTTAGGGGGGATTAATTTTCTTTCTCCCATTTCTAAGGGGGAGATTAATTTTCTTTCCCCCATTTTTAAGAGGGAGATTAATTTCCTTTCTCCCATTTTTTAGGGGGATTAATTTTCTTTCTCCCCTTTTTTAGGGGGATGAATTTTCTTTTTCCCCTTTTTTTAGGGGAAGAATATTTTCCTTATTCTATTTTTGAAAGGGAGGTTAATTTTCTTTCTCCCCTTTTTGAGAGGAGAGGAAAGAAAAAAAGGGGGGAAAGAAGAAAAGGAAAAGAAAGCAGACGAAAATTTTTCCAAAACCAAAAATTCCAAAACGGGAAAAAATTGACCTTGAAGAATTGGAAACATACAGAGCATCGTCGAAAGTCACATATTGTCCCGTGTCTCATTGGCTTCCAATGGATAAACATGCGAGCAGAATGTCACTTCAATTTCGACCGGTCTCAATAAACTGACGAGCACTAGGATCGGCGTAGACATCGAGCTCGATCAAGCGGAATGGCACAAATAATTAATTGCATTTATAAAGCACACAAGCAAGAAATGACCGCGCGTCCGATCGTGTTCGCGGTGGGTCCCAGATTAATCTTGCGACATTTTTTTTTTTTTTTTTTCATTTTTTTTCTCCTCTTTTTTGAATTCATACGGTTCTCTCATATTTGACCTCTAGATTTCGAAAATCTGCCCCCCACTTATCAAGGCACAAAAAAAAAATTTTTTTTTCTTTCAACGCACTTGAATTTTTGTACCGGTGAATTAATATGCCCTCCCACTGTCATGGAGAAAGTGAACAAGATTCGATAATGCAGAACCGGTTTTTTTTTCTTATTTAACCCTTTCTTGTTGTATTCGAATAGGTTCTGGATATCAATGATTCTGTTTTATTTTTATTTTTTTTCCCCTTTATATTGTGCGATAGGAAAAAATCCAACAAAGTGTATTTATGCAATTAACATATAAATATATATAGAAATGTGTATGAATGACAGTGATGCAATATCGATATCGGAAAATTGTCACATTTCCTCTCAGTGTTTAAAATTATTTTCTTAATTTTTTTAATTATGTTTTTTTTTTTTGAGAGAGGAATATTCCGCTTCTTAAAATGGGTGGATTTTAATTTATATTCAAATCTTCTTTAATAAAATTTGTTTTTCAAAAGGTTTTTTCTCACAAGTGAATTCTAAAACTTTTTTAACAAATTTTGATTGTATTTTTGTAAAAATTTCAATTTCTGAAATTAATTTCTCTAGCAGAGTAAAATTTTTAAATTTAAATTTATTTTTGTAAACATTCTAATGAACGAAATTTAATTCCTTCTTTTCCATAATTCAAAAATATTATTGTAAATAATTTTTGAATAATTTAAACTTTAAGTGAAAGCCAAAGTTAACGTGAAAGTCAACGTGAAAGTCAAAGTCAAAATAAAAAAATATAAAATTAAAAACATTAAATATTAAAAAACGATTCAAATTAAATGATTGAAAGTCAAAAACATTTCAGATTAAAAATTTGAAAATAAAAACTTCCAAATTAAAAATTTTTCAAATAAAAAGATTCAAAATCTAAAACATTTTAAAATAAAAATTTCAAAATTTAAAACATTACAATTTAAAAAATATTAAATTGAATTATTTTAAATTAAAAAAAATAAAATTTATAAAAATTGAATTAAAAGAAATTAAATTTAATTCAAAAAAATTTGTAAATAAAAAAATAAAGGAGTTTATTTATTCTTAAAGTTATATTTTTGTTTGCAATGATCAATAGTCAAAAATTAAAATTACAAAATCGCATCCCAGGCAGTAAAAAATAATTTATAAAATCTTCAAAATTAATAATTTATGTTTTTCATTGTCATTACAGTGAATAATTTTTTGAAACTATCGATATTAAAAGAATTTTGATTTTTTTATGGATTTTCATTAATTTTTTGAAACTATTTATAATGAAAATATTTTTACAACATAATTTCGTTCATTTGAACGGGGAAAATATTTTTGAACCCATTTTTCTAAGAAAAATTACTAAAAATTTTGTAATTAATATATATTAATACTAATGAAAATATTTATTAGTAGAAATTAATATTTATTGAAAAAAAATTCCAGAAATTGAATTTGAATGAAATGGAAAAGACTTGAGAGAAACTTTTTTTAGTCAAAAAACTTATTAAAAAGTGAATTTTATTAAAAAATTTTAGATTTGAAGAAAATAAATAATAATAACTAGAAAATTAAAAATTTCTTTTTAGAAAATTTGCCCACTTAATTATATTATTATTTACATCGAAAAAAATGATTTAAAAAAAAATGACACAAAAAATAGAAGAATCTTCTAATATTGAGAATATACTCTTCCCGGTGATACTTTTGTATATTTTATTATTCTCGATATTAAAAAAAATTGATATTTTCCAGTTATAAAAAAAATATCAAAATGTTGATATTGCACCACTATTGTAATATATTTCAGTTTCGAAAATTTGCGTTATAAGTAAATAAAATAAAAAAAAAGTTGTATTCTATACATAGAAATTAGTCTTAAAAATCTATTATTTATTTTTCGTTTCTCGGCGATTATATTATTTTTCAATTTTCGTTCCTCTTATCCGTTTTTCTTTATATATACTCGTTTTGCTTCGAAAAAAGCCAAAACATTGAAAATGTGGAATATTTATTATTAAAATATGTAAAAAAAAAATTCGAAAAGCACAAAGAAGTAAAAAGAAAAATTTGGCCAAATTTAAATATTTCGTCCTTTCAAGAAAAAAATTCTTCTTCTCCTCACAGAATTTTCCTTAAAAGAGGGAAAATATAAAGAAATAAAATAGAAATAGAAAATGTAAAGAAAAAGTAAAGAAAAAGGTAAAAAAAAATTTTTTTTCAAAATGGACACATTTTTTTGAAAAATGAAATTTTTTAATTTGGCAAATTAAGAAGAAGAAGAAGAAGAAGAAGAAGAAGTAACTATGGCGCCTCGATTCTATCGAGATAGAAGCTTATCAGTTCCCTTCTTTTGCTCGTAACGCGCTTTCTATTATTTTTTTTTTATGACAAAAAAATTATTGTGATCTATTGTCAGATTTTTTTTTCGTCAGGAGAAAAAATGTTTATAATTATTAATTGAAAAAAATCGCTTTCTTTCCTTTTAGAAATGTTATTAAAAAAAAACTTCCAAAAAAATGAGACTGCAGTCGCGCTTTGTAAATAGCTTAACGTATTACTGTGTTTTTAATATTATTATTGTGTATTGATAATTGATAATTATAATAATTATTATATTATAAATATTACGAGCACTATGAATATATATTATATATTATTATTTTTATTATTTTAATTATTATTATTATTATTTTATATATAAAATAATAGAAATTAGTCATTTATTTTAGCACTCGATAATTAGGATTTCAATTCAATCATACGATTTGAGATTCTTTCAGTACATAGTACTTATGGAGTGATAATAATTTTATTTTCAAATTCGATTTTCATTTTTTAATTATATATGAACGTATCGTGTGTTGTACGTTAACTTTGCGCACATGAGAACCGAGAATATATTTATATTATATAAATATTTTATATGCGATATATTATATATATTTTTTAGAAATTGAGAATTGAATGCACGTGCTGTATGATGATGTTTTGTTAGAAAACTTTCAAAAAGAAGTAACAAATGTCCGCGTGCGTTTTTGGTCAGTCAATATGTAATATTTGTAATTGCGGTCGTGTTTATCGGCCTGTCAATAAATTTTCCAGTCGAACAAAAAATTAGTTACATTTGGTTTATTATTTCCTTCCTTATCCTTAATTTTCTTCTTCTGAATTCGTAAAAATGGTAAAAAAATTTTTTTTTTTCATTTTTCTTCATTAAATTTTCACTAAATTTATTTTTTAACAAATAAGGTTCATCTGGGGATCGATTATGCAATTTCACTTCTACTTTGACTTACATTTTCACTTTCACTTTGAAATATTTTTATTTCCACTTTCACTTTTACTTCTATTTTGGTAGATTTTTATTTTCACTGTCACTTTGATAGATTTTCATTTTTATTTTCACTTTCACTTTGAAAGACTTATTTTCACTTTCGTTTTCACTTTCATAAATTTGTATCTTCTATTTCATTTACACAAGATTATTATCTCTACTTTCACTTTTACTTTTATAGATTTTTATTTTAACTTCCTGTTGAAGTGAAACTGAAAATAAAAATCTAACAAGCTGAAAGTGAAAAAAGTGAAAGTGAAAATAAAAATTTACCAAAATAGAAGCAAAAATAAAAGTGAAAATAGAATTCTGTCAAAGTGACAGTAAAAAAAAGTAAAAATAAAAATCTGCCAAAGTAGAAGTAAAAATAGAAATGAAAATAAAAATTTATCTAAGTGACAGTGAAAATAAAAGTGAAAATAAAAATCTACCAAAAATAGAAGTAAAAATGAAAGTGAAAATAAAAATCTCCCAAAATAGAAGTAAAAAATGAAAGTAAAAATAAAAATCTTCTACAATATGAGTAAAACTAAAAGAGAAAATAAAAGTCTTCCAAAATAGAACTAAAAATAAAAAATCTATCAAAATGAAAGTGAAAGTCAAAATAAAAATTAAATTACACAATTGACCCTTTTTTTGTAGATAAAAAAATTGACTCTATTTTTTTGTAGATAAAAAATTAAATATGCAAATCTCGTACTGAGATTTTTTTTTATTCAAAACAGACAAAAAAAAAATATTTATGGAGATGACTGCGGTATGGTAAATTTTACAATATTAGTGTCAGCAGTTGAGGAATACCAAAGAAGAAATAAGAAGAGCAAATGACGCAAAAAATTACAGGTAATGTGAGAATGGGAGTTGACAGAAAAAATATATTATTTAAGGAAAAAAGTAAATAAAAAATATTTCTATAGCGCAAAAAACGGTACAGCTTGTTCGACGAGTCACACCAGGGATCAGTGTCGCATGCAAATTATACTTGTAATCAAAAATTTTATACTGCATTTGGTTACTATCACGTTTATGCAAATAGCCTCAGCTACCTTTTCATGATTACGACCTAAAAACTTGTTTTTCGTTTTATTCTCATCTTCAAGTACTTTTACCGTTTGCTCATCACTTTGATTTACGCTCAGTTATAATTTCTCTCTCTCTCTCTCTCTCCCTCTCTTCAAAATGTTTCATCTTTTTTTTTTATTTTTTGAAAAAACGGTTTTTTTGTATTTACAATTTTTTTCGCCATTCAATTTTTTTTCCCCTTTTGGTAAATTCAATTTTTTGAGTATTTTCAATTCTATTTTGCATTTCAATTTTTTTTCCTTGTTTGTATCTTCAATTTTGTTGCACATTTTATTTTTTTGAGCATTTCAATTTTTTTCCTTGTTTTTATCTTCAATTTTGTAGAGTATTTCAATTATTTTCACAGTTCAATTTTTTTTTCCTGGTTTGTTTCTTCAATTTTATTGCAAATTTTTTTTTTGCATTTTAATTTTTTTCCCTTATTTTTCTCCTTCAATTTTGTTGCGTATTTCAATTATTGTTTTTTGCAGTTCAATTTTTTTTCCTCGTTTACATCATCAATTTTTTTCAATTATTTTTGCCAAATTCAATATATTTTTGGCATTTAGATTTTTTTGTTTGTCATTTTCAATTTTTTTGGCATATTTCAATTTATTACTATATGAAAATTAAAATTGTAGAAAAAAAATTTTTTTTTCTTGGTGACTATATAATTATAAGTTATTAAGTAATGGAAATAAAAAAATTGTATTTTTTTGGTATAAACGATTTTAAATATGTACATATATATGAAGAAGGGAAAGACCCCCCGTAGTAGAGAACGAGTTGTATCGTGAGTTGAAAGTCAAGTGGCTGGCTTTCAAATATCATCCTGTCACAACAGTGAGACGTACGTGCGGCCACGGTGACTTAATTATCTTTATTTGTAATTAACGTCTGTCGACGGTAGTGTTGAAACTTGTGCGTTTTTTTCAATTTTCAATTTTTCATTTATTTTTCAAAATTAAAATAGAGAATAAATAGAAATAATCATTTTTTATCATAATTATATTGTTCTCCACGAATTTTGGAATAAATTTTAATTTTAAATTTTTGTTGATAATTATTGCAAAAATTTTTAATTTTAAATTTAAGAAAGTTCAAATTCGAAACATTTCAACTAAAAAAATGTAGAATCCAAAACAATTTAAAATTAAAACATTCAAAATCAA